CCCCCCCCCCCCCCAATCGAAAAGAGCTTCCTACAGCCCTGAATTACATGAGGAGGGGGTGGAAAATTGTTAGCATGATGCAGACAATACGTGCATCTATAAAGCTCTATGTGACTATGTCTCCCAATATTTGACACTGTTATAAACGGTGATTTGAATAAGACATTTACATTTTCGATCTCCTTGGAGAGCCAAAATTTGTGGGGAGCCCAGACCTCCTAGAATTGTTGCCCCCCCCCCCCCCAAAAAAAAGAAGGAATCTCGGTGGTGCCACTGTTTGTGATTGGTCAGTGCATGCAGTTATTTAGTTGGTGTTGGTCAGTCAGCAAGCCAATCAGCAGAGCCTAATAGAGTATCCTATTCTAGATTCATCCATTGTTCCATTTATCTCTTGCGGATTTTTTCCTTGCGTGTGGTTGGTTTGTTACAACGTCGTTGTGGTGGGTCCATCGCAATGACTCGGCCAAGGATGCTGAAGCTTGTTTTTATCTGGAAATTGTCACGGAGGTCAGTTGTACTGCATGATCAACTAATGTGAACCATGATCTTCTGCTTACAAGCCACTGATCCTTTCAAATAAACTTTTTAATAAACCAATAGATGATTCCCCTTATTACGTTTTCGTAGCGCTTTGCATTGTGGAGATAGTGGTATCACTGATAAAGATAGCGGCCTCGAATGAAAATATTCAATGTTTTCGCGAATATTTTGCTGTTGGCTATCAAGCACCTGACCCTAGCTTTTTTAAAAGTTCTTGCACGGGTCAGGACAAAAAATAAGCCATCGTGAATATCAGTGATACCATTATAACCACAATGCAAAGCGCTACGAAAACGTAATAAGGGGAATCATCTATTACCCCCCATTTTCAGGGTGGTACTGGACTTCTCAGGGGCTGGGGTGCTAGACACTGCTAGGTGGGATGGGCACCTCTTGTGCACCCATGATAGATCCGCCCCTGACCCTCTCTATTAATGCCCAGCACCTTTTCAACAAACAGATATGTGTGCTGATTAGAATTTTTAATTCGTATGGATTGTTCATGTTAATGCACGACTCCTAAGTTTTAAGTTGTTTCCCAATAAGGTTACTTTCTAAATTTGGAACATTGACCAGATTTGCCAGTCACTTACTAAAGTACCGAAATACTGAACATAGACTCGATCGTCATTTGCAGTATTTACTAACATATAGCCAACGAATTAATTAATAAAAGCTTTAAGAAATATATAAGTTGTTAAATATGTTGCCTATATTAGTAACAAGCTGCAAATTGCGAGTTTATGTTTAGTACTTCAATACTTCTGTTCAGCACTTCGGTACTTTAGTAAGCAACTTGCCAAGTTGGCTTGCAATTTCTATGCCCAATATGCCAAATTTAGTCAACAAAACTTTGGAATCGCGCTTTGAAAAGTGACTTGAAATCGACAGTAGTTTACTGTGTTTCTTACATTACTGCATTTCAATAGATTCAATAAGCATTTCCCCCCCCTATTTTGGCCCTTGCTCTATACGTAACCCATTTCCCATTAACCTTCTATTAGTACCCCTCCCCAAGAAGCCCCACCCAAACATGGCTGGAATAATTAGGTGTTTAACCACGAAGCTCTTTCTTACATCAGATAATTTTACCCACGATATAAAAAAGATCTTATTGAAATAAAGTACAAAAGATGTGAATATATAATTCTTCTTCTTCCAGATCTTCCATATTGCATCTTTCTTCCTGACTGTGAATTATGCCACGCATGTTTTTGTTCGGATCAAACAGAGAACAAGGGACGCGGTAAGCTCTATGTTGTGAAATTTTTATAGGTGATTGAAAAAGTACAATTATCTTTTTACTGTAACGTACTACTATTTCTCTGTCGTAGGGTTCTCATGGCTTCTTTTATCGAAAATTATTTTTTGGATTGTATTCTTTATCTTGGTGAGTTAATAATGTATCATTCAGTTGAAGAAATTTTGTAGATGGAAATTTCGATTGGAATTTTTGTACGTTTATTAGACCTAACTAACCAGGAGCAGTTACGAAAAATGCAACTATCGACTCTGTGGAATTGAACCTGCGCCGGGTCCTGCGATTCCGGTGCAGCGCTCTAACCAACTGAGCTACAGAGAGACAGTTGTCGAGCTCTAACCAACTGAGCTACAGAGAGACAGTTGTCAAGCTCTAACCAACTGGGCTACAGAGAGACAGTTGTCGAGCTCTAACCAACTGAGCTACAGAGAGACAGTTGTCAAGCTCTAACCAACTGAGCTACAGAGAGACAGTTGTCGAGCTCTAACCAATTGAGCTACAGAGACACAGTTGTCGAGCTCTAATTAACTGGGCTACAGAGAGACAGTTGTCGAGCTCTAACCAACTGAGCTACAGAGAGACAGTTGTCAAGATCTAACCAACTGAGCTACAGAGAGACAGTTGTCGAGCTCTAACCAACTGAGCTACAGAGAGACAGTTGTCGAGCTCTAACCAACTGAGCTACAGAGAGACAGTTGTCGAGCTCTAACCAACTGAGCTACAGAGAGACATTTGTCGAGCTCTAACCAACTGAGCTACAGAGAGACAGTTGTCGAGCTCTAACCAACTGAACTACAGAGAGACAGTTGTCGAGCTCTAACCAACTGAACTACAGAGAGACAGTTGTCGAGCCCTAACCAACTGAACTACAGAGAGACAGTTGTCGAGCTCTAACCAACTGAGCTACAGAGAGACAGTTGTCGAGCTCTAACCAACTGAACTACAGAGAGACAGTTGTCGAGCTCTAACCAACTGAACTACAGAAAGACAGTTGTCGAGCTCTAACCAAATGAGCTACAAAGAGACAGTTGTCGAGCTCTAACCAACTGAACTACAAAGAGACAGTTGTCGAGCTCTAACCAACTGAGCTACAGAGAGACAGTTGTCGAGCTCTAACCAACTGAGCTACAGAGAGACAGTTGTCGAGCTCTAACCAACTGAGCTACAGAGAGACAGTTGTCGAGCTCTAACCAACTGAGCTACAGAGGGCAGTTGTCGAGCTCTAACCAACTGAGCTACAGAGAGACAGTTGTCGAGCTCTAACCAACTGAGCTACAGAGAGACAGTTGTCGAGCTCTAACCAACTGAGCTACAGAGAGACAGTTGTCAAGCTCTAACCAACTGAGCTACAGAGAGACAGTTGTCAAGCACTAACCAACTGAGCTACAGAGAGACAGTTGTCGAGCTTTAACCAACTGAGTTACAGAGAGACAGTTGTCAAGCTCTGACCAACTGAGCTACAGAGAGACAGTTGTCAAACTCTAACCAACTGAGCTACAGAGAGACAGTTGTCAAGCTCTAACCAACTGAGCTACAGAGAGACAGTTGTCAAGCTCTAACCAACTGAACCCTTTTACAATTAATTATATTGAGTGTTGATGTCCAAAATCCTGCTATTTTCTGTACATTTATGTTTTATTTGTTTTACCAGTTGACCAAACTGAACATCGAAGCTCAGCGGATCGAGCGTGAACTACGGTCCGAGTTAGAAGGCGTGGTTACCAAAGATCTTCACGAGGCCATCTTGAAACGACAGCGTGTCCTGGAGGAGGAGGAGTCCAAACTTAAGGTAGAAGTGATGAGATTGAAGGAAATTTCGGACGTTGCGTCACATCAAGCGGAAGCTATCCAGGCACAGCAGGAGTCACGTGACAAAGAACTGACGTCATTGCGGAAACAGCTTTATGATGTCCAGATGGAGAATGATGATAAAACTATCATTGGTAAGCACAGCGAGTGGGTCGCTCTTTTGTTCTTCCCACACTAGGGTCAGGTGCGCGATAGCCAATAGCAAAATATTCGCGAAAACATTCAATATTTTCATTCGAGGCCACTATCTTTATCAGTGATACCACTATAACCACAATGCAAAGCGCTACGAAAACGTAATAAGGGGAATCATCAATTCCGTGCGTGTGTCCTCTGATAGATCATGGCTCTCGACCAATGAAAGCGCTTGAATTCTTAACGTTATTAATATAATAACAATTATTTATCGAAATCAAAACAAAAATAAACAAGAATCGAGAAAATTTTTTAAAACAATTTCTATTTGTATAGGTAAGCTTCATCATCATATTGTCGCGTTGCAAGTGAGTGAAGGAATGGCGATTAAGAAACTGGAAACAGCTCAATCTAAGGTAATTGTTGAAGGGATCTTCCAAGTGGAATTTTTACACATTTATTACACGTAACCAGGAACAGTTACGAAAAATGTAAGATAAGATAAGATCAACTTTATTTACTGTCGTTCCAATTGAAGTGTTCCTCAAATATTGATTCAATACATTACCTCAGGCTGACCAATTCATTTGATCAAGTTCCTCGAGATATTCATACACTTCCTGTGAAAGAGGCAATTCCAAGTATTTGATCATTTCTGGTCACTTCCTTTCTATTTATGATTGGTTAGTTGCACAAACAACAAAGGTGATTGGTGCATTCAAACTATTCAACAGGAAGTTTACAATTATACTAGGAAGTGTATGAATATTTCGAGGAACTTGATCAAATGAATTGGTCAACCCGAGGTAATGTATTGAATCAATATTTGAGGAACACTTCAATTGGAACGACAGTAAACACATTAGCCTTTTCAGCAAGTGCTGATTTCCAAAAGGAGTGTGTAAATATTTACAACTTAGAACTACTTTAATAATCGCAGAACTATCGGCCCTGCGATTCTGGTGCAGCGCTCTAACTGAGCTACAGAGAGGCAATTATCGAGCTTCAACCACAAGTTCATGTATATATATACTGATAAGGTGACGCAAATAAAAAATAAAGACTTTATTTAAAGTGCGACTAATCACTAATATCAGGGTTGCAAATTACTGTCGGACATCGGACAATGTCCGACTAAATTTGGCAAATGTCCGAGCAAAAGTAATTTTGATCGGACATTGGTCCGATCACAAAAAAAATTGTCACATACATTTTTTTGCTATGATAACATCCGATTGCAAATTCACTCAATTGTCATTTTGCAATAAAATTTACGAGGCGTTCTAGCATTTAATCTTACTTAACGTTGCGCCGGAATGGCATACATACTTGTCTTGTGACTTATATATATCTTGTGACGTATGTATGTCCGACCAAATTTATTCAAATTCAAGTTTATATGTCCGACCAAAATTAAAAGTGATCGGACAAATGTCCTGTCAAGTCAAATATTTATTTGCAGCCCTGAATATTTATAATAAAAAATCCCATCTTGATCAACTTTTTCACTGTCAAAATTTGCGGATATGATGTGATTAGGTGAATTGCAGATTAGTTTTTCTTTGTTTTTTGTTCCAAAAATTCACCTAATGACATCATATCTGGAACTTTGACAGTGAAAAAGTTATCAAGATGAGGTTTTTTATTATAAAGATATATTACATTTCTTCTCAGAATGACCCAAATGTTACGCATACCAAAATTTATATTTGGGGTTAGTCGTACTTTAAACATCTCATTTAAACATCTCATCAGTAATGCAGCTGGTACAGTATTAATGGAGAACAGTGATTACAATTTACAATTATCAACGTTACACCTATTTTATATACAGTGCAATATAAACATGCATTTTTTATACACTACCAATATGAAACTTATTGTCAAGTTCTAAAAGATGCGCATGAACAGTAGTACGCTTAAATTTTGAGAAAGATATCATTTCTCTAATGTTTCAAGGTAAAGAGTTCCAGTCTTTTGCACCAGCATACTTGAATGTTGATTGACCTATTGTACTGTTCACCTTCGGAAGATCAATGTACCGTGTATGGGAAATAGAGAGGTTAAGATACCCCGGTTTCGGTGTACGGGTACGAGTACCATGATTTTGGTTAGCAATATTTTCGTCGATGTCTGTACCTTTAATCGTAATTAAGGTGCACATTTTCCCCATTATATCATTGTCTATTGCAAGAAAACAGAAAAAGTATGGTCGAATTACAGACATCAGTAAAACAAGATGACACTACTCGTTCCGGTACACCGAAACCGGGGTATCTTAACCTCTTTAATATAAGGATTGTGGGCGTCTCAGTCCGTATAACTAATTCCTTCAATATACAAAGCGATATTTATTCTATTTTTACTCAGGTGTCAAAACTTGATGCCCATATTCTCCGTCTGGAACAGAAACTGGACGAGAAAGACCAGGACTTGTACCATGCTAAACTGGAGGCGAGAAATAAAGCGAAATATCTGAAGCAAACTATTCAAGATTTAAGACGACAGTTCAGTGGTTCATTGCCTCTCTTGAAACAAGAAAGATTTGCGGAGGCCATGAGAAGCCTTCAAGACAGTAAACTGAAGTTACAACAAGATCTTGACAAGGTCAGTTTAACTTTTGCACCTTAGCTGTGCTTCGTTATTAGACAGTCTGGTTTACACTATTAGGAATTTTGCATAGGGAAATTCTAAGTTTTGAATGATTTGTAAGAAATGTTTGAAGAAACTGACTCGTGTGTTAACACTGACTCAGTTTCCCTCAAATACTTCTACAAATCCTGCAAAACTTAACTCCTGCACCTTAGTAGCTGTGCTCTGTCATTTTGCATAGGGAAATTCTAAGTTTTGAATGATTTGTAGGAAATGTTTGAAGGAGCTTACTTACTGTTAACACTGACCCAGCTCCCTCAAATACTTCCTACAAATCCTTCAAAACTTAACTCTTGCACCTTAGCTGTGCTCTGTGTTCAGTGGTTTACACTATCAAAGTTTCTGTGATCACAGTAGGAATTTTGCATGGGTAAATTCTAAGTTTTGAAGGATTTGTAAGAAATGTTTGAGGAAACTAATTCAGTGTTAAACATTGAGTCAGTTCCTTCGAATATTTCTTGTGCTCTGTTATTTAAGTCTGGTTTACACTGTTAAAGTTTTGTGATCACAGTAGGAATTTTGCAAAGGTAAATTCTACGTTTTGAAGGATTTGTAAGAAATGTTTGAAGGAACTAACTCGTGTGTTAACACTAACTAACTCAAATATTTCCTACAAATCCTGCAAAACTTAACTCCTGCACCTTAGTAGCTGTGTTCTGTGATCAGACTGTCTGGTTTACACTATAAAAGTTTCTGTTATCACAGCAAGAATTTTGAAGGATTTGTAAGAAATGTTTGAAGGAACTTACTTGCTGTTACCACTGACTCTATTCCCTCAAATATTTCTTACAAATCCTTCAAAACTTAGAACTTACCTATGGTGGATTAAACACCGAAATAATTGATCGGCAAACCGAGCTCATGTAAACATGCCCTTAGTTCTTTCTTTTTCAACATCCCAGGCTCAGAAAGAACGTGAACAAGCCTCGTTACAATTAGTAGAACTGGAACTGAAACACAAGAACCTTGAAGAACTATTGAGTACATTGAAGGACGGTAAGGGTGCTGCTAAGGTTATCGAGTGGCACAAGAGGATAGAGGAGATCAGACTGAAAGATTTGAAACTGAATAGAAATATAACGAAACTTCATGAACAAATCAAATTCTTGGAAAGTCTGAATAAGAACCAAGAACATTCCTTGGTGAGACTGGAGGAAGAGAATGTCAGGATGGCTAAGGTGAGTAGCATGTATAGATGGGGTGATACTTGCAGCACAGTAGATCGTGTTTACGATCAAGGAGTGTGTACCAGCACAGTATAAGAAAACTACAGTAGGGCCACTCAGCGTAAAGAAGTGTCCACATTGTTTACTGGCTGTCAACCTAATTTACATATTGGCAGCCAGTAAACGGCAGCAGTTCACTATAAAATTGTATTAGAGAGTAATGATTTTGACCGTGTAAGACACCTGCGACCTAGCTTAAATAATTCCCACTTTTCTCTTCCCTAAGTGGCCCTACTGGTTGTCTCCCTATACTGTGGTACCACTGTTGGTTTTCGTCAACAGGTGTGCAAGGGGGTGCAAACAATTAAATTTATCTTACTTTTATATGTTTGAGGTATTCAAAGTGTGCTATCATTCTTAGACCAACATAAATTTTCAAATTCAAGACAGCACTAAATATTAAGTATTTTGAACTGGCAGCACTAGTTCAAAATGCTTAATATTTAATCATTAATTTGTTTTTGATTAATTAATAATAATTTATTTGTTTAATGTGGTCTCGGGGATTAATATTTTATGTAATTATTGATTTGTTCAACACATCTGTAAATTGCACCGCCCCCCCCCCCTGCTCACCCCCACCTGAATCATGTTCATTCTCTTATTCAGCAACATGAAGAGCGTCAATTACTCTGGGATCAACGTGAGGTTGAACTTGAGAGATCTTTAGCCAAATTGGAACAACAACAAGCCGACATGGCCCAGGCTGCTTTGCGCTTCGAAGAAGCCACTGGCTCGGTCCCAGATCCCAATCTACCGATCGCGAACCAACTCGAGGAGGCGATCAGACGTATTAAAGATCACGTTAAAATCATTATTGGATGTCGACACGAAAATAAAAACTTGAAAACGCAAGTTACTGAATTGAAGCACGCTTTGGAGGAACACGCAACCAAAAACACGCAGAACGCGAAAATTATCAACGAGCTTCGTTTGAGGTTACCCGTCAGCGAACGGCTGGCAGTGACCGAGCATGTTGAGAGATTGGTCACTAGACCCCAGGACTATGAGGCTAAGAAAGCGCTACAAGTAGCCCAGTCTACAATCTCGAGTTTGCAACAGATGATTACAAAGAAAGAAGAGTCCATATTGAAATATCAGGAACTACTTAAGGTAGCGTGTTATTGTTTTCTAGCAGACAATATTCTATTTTGATAGTATGTTGACCAGTGTCACAGTGATTGGTGCGTGGGTCTTTTATTCTGTGAGCACGATTCTAGTCAGTAATACTGGACTTCTATGGAGAACAGTTTAGAACTGACAGAGCTATCCAGTATAAATAAAGTTAGTTTAGTTTAGGTTTCCTCCTGTAGTAACACTGGATCAATAAGAGATGATTTATGGACCTCTAGTATAAATAAAGTTAGTTTAGTTTAGGTTTCCTCCTGTAGTAACACTGGATCAATAAGAGATGATACTTACTGGACCTCTAGGAAGAACAGATTAGAACTGATGGAACTATACAGTATATCATCCAGAACCAACAGTTTGAAGTTTAGTTTAGTGGAAATTTACCACATGTGACGGACACACATTGACAACAGATGTAATTTTCTGAAGTGTCTTTTCTATATAAGAATTTACTCTGCGACCACTACGTCTTTTTTGAGACCACTACCTACGCCACGTTTTAACTTTTTCTGTTTAAATAAGAAGCTTCATCTCTTTGTAATTCAGGAATCGCGAGATGACATGGAGGCCCAAACACAACAACACAAAGCTGAAATCAAGCTCCTTCAGGATCGCTTACAACTCGAGGAGGACGAAGCATTACGTAAGTTTAAAGCTCATCAAACTGACGTCATTAACAGCGCGAGTAGCGCGAGGCCTGGGAACAGGGAATTGAAACGTCTCTCTGAACTTGAGGAGTTAGCCGCTGAACAAGAGAACGCTTTGGCCGCGGCAGCTGAGAGATACCAGAGGTCTCGGAACGAGTTTGGGAAACTTAAAGTTCAGTGTGAAGATATGGTGAGTGAAATATCCAAGAAAGCTGAACTAGCCGAGGCGAGGTTGCTGGAGAGGATTAAGGGGCTTGAGAACGAGTTGGAATCACGTGAACAGAACCTTCGAGAACGTACGAAAGAGAACGAAGTATTGACGGAAGAACTCGAAGCTGCCCGAGAAGCTAACGAACGTGCTCCGACCCGAGCTATGAAATCTTTAGTTGAGAGATTACGTAATCAGCTTCTGATTAAAGACAAGGAGCAAAAGACTCTCAGTAAAGCACTCAGGCAGTTGCGGGCGGATATGGTCAACACTGCCGAGGAAAACCTGCGGGCAAATACCCAGCTTGCAGGCGAGGAAGTTAATGTACAGATGATTGTCGCGCGGGAAACGGCTGAGCTGCGTGAACGCGTGGAAGGATTGGGCTCTAGACTGGAGAAAATGAAAAATGAAGTGAAGAAATATAAAGAAAGGGAAGGAAACTTGCAGGAAGAAAATAATAGATTGAAAAAGGTAAGACAACAAGAAATATTAATCCGTACTCATTAAGGCACTTTATACGCTTGAATTTTTCATCTTTCAGGATTTAGAGAGGAAGAAGACGGCTCTTGTACAAATGGCGGACCAACAAGAACTGGGAGACGGTCGTGAGAATGCCGAAGATAGTTTAAGAAATGAAAGAAGGAAGAGACAGGAATGTGAACAGCGTCTGCTTGAGATGGAAAAGAAAATGCAAAGATTGAATGAGAAGAATAAAGAGAAAGAAATGAGAGAACAAGAAGATGGCAAGAAAGAGGAGAAACAGAAGGTTGGTCTTTGCGATGGTTTTGTGTCTAAGGTACTTGGACTGACAGAGCTATCCAGTATAAATAAAGTTAGTTTAGTTTAGGTTTCCTCCTGTAGTAACACTGGATCAATAAGAGATGATCCTTACTAGATCTCTAGGAAGAACAGTTTAGAACTGTTAGAACTATCAAGTATAAATAAAGTTAGTTTAGTTTAGGTTTCCTCCTGTAGTAACACTGGATCAATAAGAGATAATCCTTACTGGACCTTTAGAGAGAACAGTTTAGAACTGCTAGAACTATCCAGTATAAATAAAGTTAGTTTCAATCGTCGTCATTTTCTTTCTTTAGAGCCAGAAAATGAGTGAGGAAGTTTTAAAGTGGGAAGAAGGAAAGAAATGGCAACATAAAGTGGAAACATTGAAAGCAAAACTTATGGAGAAGACGAAGGAATTAGAAAAAGCTGAGAAATCTTTGACTTTGTGTCGCGATGCTCTGAACAGGGGAGAGAAAGCTAGCTCGCAGACCAAACTCAAGAGGTACGACGATTTTCCTGAAGAGGTTTTGTTGATGGAAATCTCGAAGTTTGTAAATTTCCAACTACAGTATCCCCCCTAAAATTTAAGTCTATTATGCATCGAGTTTGCTAACCTTATTCCACTGACTATGGTTCTATCAAAATACTGGTCAAATTTCAGTATGAGTTTCAAATAAGCAATTCCTGCTTTTAATTTATGCGCGCAGGGGGAAGACAGTAAGTAAGGTATCATATTGCTGATTATGCTGAAAAATTTCAATAAAAACTGCCGAAACAACCGAAATATTTCAATTTGTACAATTATAAACTATCACTCCGTGTTTACACGGCCGCCATTTTTATTTTTTCGGCATAGTCAGCAATATGATACCTTTCTTCCCATCCAGCCCTGCGTGCATAAACTAAAAGCTGGAATTGCCTATTCAGTTCCAAATTCAAGTTTGAAAAACTGACAACACTGCAATACATATGGAAAACGGCGAAACGATGTCTTACTATACAGGGTTCGTAGCGGTCTTTGAAATCCTTGAAAATCTTTAAATTTGAAGTCTTTAAGGTCTTTGAAAAGTCTTTGAATTGTGTGAAAAAGCGAAGAAAGTCTTTAAAAGTCTTTAAATTCTTTAGTGAGGAATTGATTATACGATTTCCTAGCTAATAAAATAGATTGATTGAAGCAAGATTTTCGCAAATATCGACGAAAAGGCGCATTTTAGGATGTGATTTGACGGGACTAATTACTGGGTAAAAATGGTGCTTACACTCGCAATTTTTCAACAGCTGGTTGCTCTCAAAGGTCTTTGAAAAGTCTTTGAAAATAGGCAGAAAAAATCTTCGAAAGTCTTTGAATATTTTTGGTCTTGGAGACTGCGAACTGAACTATTATTTCTTTCTCTCAAGTTCCCGCTCGACTGTTGATGCATCAACATTACATCGTGATGACGTCATCCAGGATTTGAAACAGAAGGTGTTTGACGTGGAGAGCGAGGTACTGAGGGATTTCGTATGATACTTTACAGGCACATGCAGGGCACATGCATTAACCAATGCACACCATTTCTATTTCAGAATCAAGATTTGCGGCAAAGACTTGCTCTGGATCGTGACGTTAGACAACAGGTCGGTCAGTTCTGGGTATTGAACTATTATAAATAAACTGGAAGGCTAACTGCTATGATGAAGGCCTGTGATTTGCTGAAGCCAAAATAGTTTTTCTGGGTTATGAGCAGAAATACTTGATCCCAAACGTCGGGCTATATATCAAACTGAAGCTATCGAAAATTGCTATTCGGTGTGGAAATTTCAAGACTTCAGCGAAAATAATAATATTTTAAAAAATACAAAACATAAGTCAAATACAAATTTTCAATAGCTTCAGTTTCATATACAGCACAACGTTCGGTGTCGAGTATTTCTGCTCATAACTCAGAAAAACTCAAATGCACTGGCTTCAATCCCCCCCCCCCCCCCCCCCCC